TGACAACTTCTCGGTTTATGAAGACTCCTTTGCTGATTGTCTACATAACCTGAAATTTTGCCTAAAGAGGTGTGAGGAGACGAACTTGGCACTCATATGGGAGAAACACCATTTCATGGTTCGAGAAAGGATTGTGCTCGGGCACATCTCCAAGCCGGTGATCAAGTTAGATAGAGCGAAGATTGAGACGATCAATAAGCTACCTCCTCCTGTTTTTGTGAAGGGGATCTGCAACTTTTTGGGTCACGTTGGCTTCTACCAGCGTTTCATTAAGGACTTCTCGAAGATTGCCCTACCCTTGGCAAAGCTGCTTTGAGAAAGATGCACCTTTTCATTTCACTCTAGAGTGCACAGGATTTGAGAATTTGAAGGGGAAGCTTACCCATGCACCCATCATGGTGACTCCTGATTAGTCTCTCCCTTTCGAGATGATGTGTGATGCTACGCAGTATGGGTTGTTCTGGGTCAGAGACGCGAGAATGATGCATAAGAGAACTACACCGCCATCAAGAAGGAGTTGCTCGCCATGTTGTATGCTCATGTCGTGGTCTACACATACCACTATGCTCTTCGGTACTTGATGATCAAGGATGACGCCAAGTCTTGGCTCATTCGATGGATTCTACTGCTGCAGGAATTTGACATCGAGATTCGGGATAAGAATGGAGAGGAAAATTTTGTTGCGGATCATTTTTTCCGGTTGGAAGCCCCTCCAGTGGACAACTTTGTGGAAGAGATCAACGACTCCTTTCCGTATGAGCGACTACTTGCGTTGTGTTTGGTAGAGCGTGTCACCCCTTGGTGTTCTGAGTGCCAATTATCTGGTGGGCAAGCAGTTGCATAAGGGGATGGCTACTCACGCCAAGCGCAAGTTTTTCTCCGACCAGAAGCATTACTTTTGGGAGGACCCTTACCTCTTCAAGATCGAAGCAGATGGCATGATCTGACGATGCGTGATGGAGAACGAAATTGGAGGCATCCTGTCTCAATGCCACGATGGACCTATGTGTGGTCATCATTGCGTGAACCGCACGACACGAAAGGTGTTGCAGTCGGGATTCTACTCACCCTCGCTCTTCAAGGATGTTGATACCTTCGCACGGAAGTGCGACCGCTTCCAGAGGTTAGGTAACATTTCTTCTCGGGATGAGATGCCCAAACATATTTCTGTTGTTTGTGATTTTTTTTATGTTTGGGGCATCAATTTCATAGGCCCCTTTCCTTTTTTGTAATCTTTACATCCTGGGCTGGACTACGTCTCGAGGTGGACAGAAGCTCAAGTCATGCCCACCAATGGTGCCACCTCAAGCCATCATTAGTGATAGAGGAACCCATTTTCAAGGGCAATTTGATAAAATCCTCTCTCGTTATGATGTTTAGCATAAGGTGTCGGTGGCTTACCATTCCCAGACGAATGGTCAAGCCGAGTTGACGAAACGAGAGCTTAAGCGTATAATTGAAAACACGATGGATCAGTCCCACAAGGATTGGTCCACCAAGCTCGGTCATGCTCTGTGGGCATATAGGACAACCTACAAGACGCCGATTGGTACTTCACCATATCGGCTTTTCTATGGAAAGGCTTGCCACTTGCCTGTTGAGCTAGTACACAAGGCCTTCTGGGCCCTTAAACTGCTAAACCTGGATTTGAGTGTTGCAGGTACTGAACATAAGTTGCAGCTGCTGGAGTTGAAAGAATGACGTTATCACGCCTATGAGAACACTCGCTTGTAAAACCAAGCGTCTTCACGACGCTCGGTTGAAGGGCCCTAAAGGGTTTCAGGTTGGTGATCCCGTTATACTCTATAATGTGTGCCTGAAACTCTTCTCGAGCAAGCTACGCTCGCATTGGTCTGGTCCTTTCACGTCACCCAGGTTTTCCCGCAGGGCGTGGTGGAGATCAACAATGCTCAAACTGAGCCGTTTAAGGTGAACGACAACCTCCTGAAGCTCTATCTGGGAGATGATGTGGAGCGCACAGAGCTGCTGATCAAGCTCGAGGACTCTTAATTTCTCCATCTGCGTCCAGCTAAAAGACGGTAAAGAAGCGCTTGTGGGGAGGCAACGGAGAAGTCTTGGATTAGCGAAGAGAAAAACACTTTCAGTCCATTTGCTATGCAAGTGAGACTCTGAACGATGCTCAAGAGAATTACACAACTGTGGAGAAGGAGTTACCTGCAGTGGTTTTTGCATTCGGTAAGTTTCGGCCCTACCTGGTTCTCTCGAAATTCGTTATTTATATCAATAATTCCGCTCTCCGTTACTTGATGACCTAAGCCGATGCTAAACCTTGCCTTATTTGATGGGTGATTTTACTACAAGAATTTGACATCGAAATCAGGGACAAAAGGGGAGCAGAAAACCTCGCAACGGACCATCTCTCTAGATTGGAAGGTCCAGAGGCCAAGGTAGAATCAAGAAGAGAGATCAATGATTCATTCCCCGATGAAAGACTATATTCTGCTCAAACACGGGAAGACAAGCTTCCATGGTTTGCCGATTTGGCAAACTATCTGGCCCAAGGCAACTTCAAAGGACATGACTCGACTTGACAGAGATAAATTCTTTGCAGACATTAAGCACTACTTTTGGGATGATCCTTACTTATTTAAAGTGGGTGTCGATGGAACAATTAGAAGATGTGTAGATTTAGAGGAAGCAAGGGAGATTCTTTCTTATTGTCATATTGGAGCTGTAGGTGGACACCACAGCGGGCGTTCGACTAAATAACAACGAGGTGGGAGTATGATAGGGTACCAGGACCTGAGTATAATACGACCTTGATTGCCACTATATGACAATGCCATTTTAGGTTAAACTTGGCCTAGGATGGGGTAGTTGTTTACACGTGCTAACCATTGACAATAATCTGCACGGATGAATGTGATCACTGAAGGACTAGATCGAGATACCACACGGATCAATCATCCAATGGCGACTTCACATGGATCACTGGAATTCAATGTCAGGAGAATTTTTCCACCCTAGTAAGGAAGTCAATAATTGGACCAAGATATCGATTCGTAAACCATTGAATTTGTCCCAAGCAAATGCAAATGTGAATACCATCTTGAATCAGCAGATAAAGAAGCTTTCTAACAGTTGAAGCATGCACTAGTGGATCAAAAGAATGGACTAGTAGCATCCTTGATCGTGTGTGACGCATGTGAAGTAGAAGGCCATGATGGTCAAGAATGTTGGAACCTTGGAGGGCAAGGACATTCTAATTTGAATTGCATAGCCCGAGGTTATCAAAATAGGAACCCTCAAAAAGGATATGCCTAATATAGGAGCTACAACAACCCCATATACCATATGGTCAATGGCCGATCTATGGAGGGAGGAAGCTAGAGGACTATCCGAAGATCAATTCAACAATTGCCACTACAAAAGGCACACCGTTTTGATGAAAACTTTCTCAAGACACTAAAAATGCGTCAGAATATTTTTTTGACGAAAAATGTTCTTGTTAGTAATGCTAAGATTATTACATTTTTTACAAAAAAAAAACATTATTTAGATTACATGTAATAGCATTGTATTTTTAGTTTTATTTAGTGATGTAGTTATAAATGTAATTTATTTAGTGATTGCCGCAAATTGATTTGAAATATTATAGTTCACGCTAATTCTGACGAGGCATTAAAAATTTGATTTAGCACTTGTAAGACGATTTGTTTTGGACTCATGTTGTCATAAAGAATAATGCAGAATGCATCAAGAAAAGAGTCCTCTAACGCATTGTTATGTTTGTACGATAAATTATTTTCGTCAGTAAATTTACTTCCTCTTAAGACACGGTTGCAAAAAAATCTCATTTTTGACGTCATAAGAACTTCACAAACGATTGTACAATATATAAATAAAAATTTTCATCCTCATTTTTTTGTCATTAATATGTTTTTTCAATGATGCACTAGCGTCGGTATAAGTAGTATTTCTAGCGGGGAGTGACAAATAAATTCTTACCCACGACCACACCTCGTCAAAAAAAGAATGCAAAAGTTGTCAAAAAAAAGTTCGTCGTCATTTTTTGTCATGAGTTAAATATTTTATGACGTCGTAATTTGGATTATCAACGAGTTCTTGGCGTCAATAATAAAACACTTTTGTCATCATGTCAGAAATATTGTATTCGCGACGAGACATTTTCCCACAACGTCCAACGACCGTATTTTGTCAATAAAAGTAATTTCTAACAACAAAACAATTATTTTGACGAGAAACGCGTCATCAGTAATGACTGTATTTTTCCAATAGTGGGGAAATAAACCTATTCCACTTAGATTTGGGAATGAACAACATATAAGGCTTTTCCAATAAACATCCCACTCAATTCGAGAAGCTAGATGCAACATCCATGGTTTGCAAGCTAGATTTCAAAATATTAAACATCAACTTGCAATTCTGATTGATGCAAGACCCATAAGCATCAAGGGAATCTTCCCAAAAATACAGAGAAAAATATAAAGAAGGAGGAGGTCAAAGCTATCTCGATAATAGTAAGAGCATTCCATTATTGCTTAGGCAAGAAAGGAGAAGATAATGAGCAAATTCTAGAGAGTGTGGCCAACTTAAAGGATGATGATCACTATCCTTCTCTTCTTCGGGATCTACAAGGAGCTATAGGAGGAGCATAAACTGACGTGTTGTTGTTGGAGAGACTAATTATCTCTATGTAGAACCCAAAGGACAAACTCGAGATTATCCTTGAAGACGATGATATGATCGAGCAAAGAGAGACTATTGTCAAATCATCCCTTTGGGGTTATGAAAAGAAGATTCAAGTTCAATAGTAGAAGTAAGATCTTACCCCTCCAACTCTATAGGAGATGGGTCTATCTGATATGGAGGACATCAACATAATGATAAATTTAGCAGACAACATGATAACACTGAATTTGTACATGTTTCTCCCGCTGCTTCTTGATAGTTTAAGCTTGAATTATTACTTCTTTGGCCCATTTTACGCTAGTTTGTGTTCCTTTGTCACATTTCAGGTCTTAGCACATTAAGTGAACCATAGGCGCAAGTTTCAAGTTAATCGGAGATCAATTGGCGACTAGGGGGAAGAACTCGGGCATGACGCAAAGAAGAATGGATATTTACCTCATTTTATGGAAAAACAATCATGTAATCTATGCATGAAAATAAAGAGGACGAGACTATGAGTATATGGGATCAAATGGTGACTGATTCGGAGTTTGGATAAGGGAGAAAAGACCAAAGGCAGCAGCCTACTCCTAAGTAGGCCTTCGAAGTTACGGGCCAGCCCATAACTTTGCCATTTTGGGCAGTAGCTTGGGCCACGGGATGGAAAACGTATTCCAGAAGTTACTCCCAAAAACCCAAAAGGTTATGCCCGTAACTTGGAGCCGTAACTTGGCCTCTGGGAGCTATTTAAATACGTTTTTGCGGCTTTTGAAGATAGAGAGCTGGATTTTGGATCCTAAACACCAAGGGATGAACCCTAGAGAGAGAGAGAGAGAACATTGGAGCTCAGGAATCAAGCTTGGAGATGGAGATTGAAGATCTAGACTAGATTTCTACATTCTCTCTCTTCAACTTCCCTTTACTTAGATTTTGAGGAACCCTAGATTTGTATGTTCTATATCCAATTGAGGCATTATTTATAATTGCCTGAGTACTGATCAAATTCCTGTGATTCCTGCTATAACCTAGAACGATAGGCTCTACTATACATAGGTTAAAAGAGCAATCTAAATTGGAAGTAGTGAATCGATTGCTTTAGTTGAGAAGTGGATTCACTACTCTGTACTGGTGTAAAACCAGTAGAGAAGTGTGAATCTTATTGCCTTGGTTAGGTTATTCTAGTGGAGGTTAGTCGCCCGCCGGGTGATCTATTCAAGAGAGTCTGGAACACTTTATTCGAGACTCTAGACTGTTGGAGAACTTTTCGCAGTGTAAATGTCATCTAAATTGAATTTGGTGAATTACAACTTGGCCCAACTGCAATCTAGAGGGAATCATACCTAAGTGAGTTCACAACCTGTAATTAGATTAACTTTAACATTTGTTTACTTGAGTAGTTATAGTTCTTCTATCTCAATCTGGTTTGCTAGATAATGAACTAAAGATGAGTAATAGTAAATCCAGAGACCAATGGATTCACTATTCATTACTTGTGCCACTATACTGAAGTCCCTTTCATTAGTTACACTTGGCCACTGTTAGGAGTTGTGTTTTAGCGAGTCAAGTTTTTGGCGCCATGGCTGGGGAATTTCTAGATTATTAGGAAAGGCAGAAGTTTGTTAGATTAGCTTTTCTTTCTTTTGTTGTTCTTTTCCACCCTTGCTTTTCACTTGGGTGTTTATGTTTTTGTTGGTGCAGATCTTAATCATGGATCCTCATGTCTTATCCAACCATTGAGGGTATCCACCATCACCTGAGTGGTATTACTCCGAGTCTTTGTGGACCAATCTAGGAGGAGAAGAGAATGGATTTGGGTTTCAGTGCCAACCTCCCTAATACGAAGAGCAATCAGACCCCTGGGCATTTCAAGAAAAATCTCCTTATCAAGAACTCCTCCCACAACCAGAGGGGCCATTGGAGATGGAGTTAGCCATGGCGGCCTTCACGGGCCATTATGCAGAGCCATGCTACCCTCCTCGGCCAGATCCAAATACTTAATTGAAACTTCTCGTGGGACACCGAGAGATCCCAATCCAAGCCATTACTATTCATGTTGCTCCTCCTTACCCTTCTTTTCTCCGTGAAACGGAGGAGGTTGTTCAGCTGCTCAGCGATGAAAACATAGTGGGTTGAGCAAGTATTTGGACAGCTTTCTCAAGATCGCCTTTCTACTACTATAGAAGAAGTGGAGGAGGATGAAGGAGGCTACAAGGACATTGTGGAGCTGACGGAATTTGTCACGGAGAGCTCCCGTGATTATCATGATTAGGAATGTCATGTTCTAGCCGAACACACCTTTCCACATCCCATACAGAGCATTGAAGAGGCGGGCATGAGTGAGGAGATGCAAGCTAATCTTATTGAGAACCTTGAATGGCGACTTGATCTCCAATCCGTTATGGCAGAATAAGAGAGAGAAAGGGTGAGGAAAGAAGTTCTTGGAGGATGACTTAAGTGAAGCATAAGGAGTTCTTGATCTTTTCCAAGGGGAAAGACCACATTTTGAAGAAGGAAGGGGCTTTGAAGATGCAATTGGCGTCCAACCCGAGGATGAAGTTGAGGTGGAAGAGGCTTGCACTGGGCATGTGTTACACGTGATATCTCCACCAACAAAGGCCACATTGACGTTGATCCCTCTGGGTGGATACGAAGGTTGTCAATTGATGCTATCATATCTGGTTTTGGGAAATGAGACAAGAGAAAAAGAGAAGAAGAGGTCTCGCGGGTGGAGACTTCATCTGCATCCAGTACACGAGCCTTCATCACTTTACCACCACATGCTCGTGACTTGAGACTCCACCTCATCGACAAGAACCTCAAATTCAAGGAGTTTTTTTTATGGACCGAAGCTTAGGAGCCACCGTCCGGCTCACGACGTGAAATAAGCGCTTGTTGGGAGGCAACCAAACCATTTGGTTTGCATTTCTTTCCCTATTTCTCTTCGGTTGAGTCAGTTTTGTTCTTTGATTTTAGAGTGAATAACTCAATCTTTGTGAGATTTTTGTGGTGTTTGTGTTCCGACTACTTTCTCCCATGGAATGATCATTCACACTTGATCTGGGAACTTCGTTCTACCCTCCTTATATTTCCTCCATTGAGGGCAATGTCGTGCTTAAGTGTGGGGGGATGTATCATTATATATGTGTGTGAATGTTTCGTTGTATGTTTGTTCTTGGAGCCTAGTCCAATGTCCAAATTTTACGATTACGATTTAAGGGCTCCAAATACATGTTCCTTGTAATTGCCTGCCCAGTATGCTTTCAATTGACAGTCTTTGTAGTAACTATGCAACCTAGGGAAGTAGTTGTAGCACTATGGAGGATGCTGAAGTGTAAGATCTTTCGTATATTTCTCCTTGTTGTGCTGGTTGATTGTGTGAAATAGTGGCTATAGGACCTTTAATTCATGTAGTATCAATGACTCTCCTTGCATTTTGGACTGATGTATCATGAAGCGGTGCTCAGTTGTGCTTAATAATAAGCAGTTGGTCCTCCATGTCAGAAATTTGAAGCATGGGGTAAGCCCAACGTGTGGGCATCATTCATTGCACAAAATCAGGTTTTGGTAGAGATATTAGTGATCCTTAGTGGGATAGGCCTACAATTTGAAGCTAAACCGTCTCTAGTACAAGTACAAATTCCATCAATTGAACAGACCACCTACTCGAGGATGTGTGATAAAGGGCACAGATAGAGCTTCCGACCCCCCTTAATTTCATTGACCCTCCATAAGAATTGAGGAAAAAGAATTTAAAATAAGTCCTCTGGGGAGCGATAGATGTACATAAATTGCTCTTTCTCAACCAATAAGGATCGACCATGCAAAAAAACTGCAGTTTGGAACCCCAGCAAAGTGATGAATGCAATGAAATAAAGAGAGGAAAACAATAAGAAAAAGGGGTTCCAACGAATGAAATGAAAGGGAAAGAGCACCTGAGACGGAGAGTCCATGGTTGTTGTATTGTGAGTAGTTTTTTTATCCATGAGTTGTTTGTTCTAAGTCCACTACTTCGCATGATCCTAGCTTGAGTTTAGCACTCGCATTGAGAGAAATAGTGGATATCTTAGAAGACTAGTTGACCTCGTAAGCTGCTAAAGGATCTAGGAAATTCTCTATCGACAATCGGGGTTGCATGTTTCTATAAAGGTCCAGAGAGTTGCATTGGTTTGAGTCAGGTTTGCTTGGGGACAAACAAATGGTTAAGTGTGGGAGAATTTGATAACACTACATTTGCACATGTTTTTTCCCACCGTTTCTTGATCGTTTAAGCTTGCATTATCACTTATTTTGTCCATTTTATGCTAGATTGTGTTCCTTTTCGGTCCTAGCACATAAAGTGAAGCATAGGCGCAAGTTTCAAGTCAATCAGAGATCAATTGGCGACTTGGGGGAAGAAACTCGGGCATGACCCGAAGAATGGTTTTTGTACCTCATCTTATGGGCAAAGAATCATATAATCTATGCATGAAAAGAAAGAGGACGAGATTACGAGCGCCGGGAAACAAACGGCGCCTGATTCGGAATTCAATGAGAGAGAAAAGACCGAAAGACAACAACGTACTCCTAAGTTACGGGTTAACCTTCAAAGTTATGGCCCAACCTGTATTTTTGCCATTTTTGGCCGTAACTCGGGCCATGGGAGGCAGAACGCATTCCAGAAGTTATGGCCTGGACCACAAAGGTTACTCCCATAACTTGGGCTGTAGCTTGGCCTCTAGGAGCTATTTAAATGCGTTTTTGCGGCTTTTGAAGGGAGGAGGTGGGTTTTAAATCCCAAACACCCAAGGGAGGAATCCGAGAGAGAGCACCTTGGGATAATTCTTGGATTTCTTTTGGAGGATTTCTTCACCATTGGATCTCAAGAATCAAGATTGGAGATGGAGATTGAAAATCTAGATCAGATTTCTGCATTCTCTCTCTTCTATATGGAATAATTTTTAGGTTTTTAGGAACCCTAGACTTGTATGCTAGGAAGAGTTATATGAACCCATTTTCATGGATGATTGATTATCTTATATCCAATTGAGGCATTATTCAGAATTGCATTAGTCCTCCTGATCAAATTACTGTGATTCTTTCTTTAAACTAGAACAATAGTCTCTGCATAGGTTAAAAGATCAACCTAAATGGGAAGTAGTGAATCGATTACTTTAGTCAAGACTCTAGACTGTTTGAGAACTTTCCATAGTGTAAATGTTAGGTGAATTGAATTGGGTGAATTACAACTTAGCCAAAATGCAATCTATGAGGAATCACACCTAAGTGAGTTCACAACCTGTTATCAGATTAACTTTAATTGTAGTTTGCTAGAGTAGTTATAGCTTTTCTATCTCAATATGGTTTCCTAGATAATGAACTGAAGCTGAGTAATAGTAACTTCAGATACTCGTGGATTCGATATTTATTACTTGTACCCCTATACTGAAGTTCCTATTATTGATTACACTT